GGGCGCGCCGGCGGCGCCGCTCCCCATTGGACGTCGTCGCCGCGCGTCACCGCCCCGCGCTGCCGTCGCTCAGGCCATCAGGTCCCAAAACTGGCCACGCCCTCTGACGCCTTTCCGGTGGGTGGGACCGATTCCGGAAGCGAAGAAAGTGGATGGCTCAAGACCCAGCCGGACGGGTCCTGCCGAGTGGGCGTGTGCGAATAGATCGGCAGTCCAGCCTGCGGCCTGGCTCCGCGGTGCATCCGCGCCTCCAAACCAGGTTCCGGGTAGGCTCAGCGGCAGGGGTCACCAGGTCGCAAAAGGTCTCCTGGGGCCTCATTGCCACTGCAAAGCAGGCGCAGACGCCAACGACGGGACTCCTGCGGAAGGACCAGCTTGGGCCCCGCGACGCGCGTTGTCCACTCATCCCTAGGAACTCTGTGCGGTAGGTGCTCCCATCCCCACCGCCCTGAGGGCAGGCGAAGCCCAGAGGCGCCCGCCCAAGCCAGCAGCCTGCTTGGATTTGGACTCCAGAATTCTATCCTAACCACTGACGCCGCGGGCCCAGGGCAGGAAAACGAGACAGCAACGTGTTCCCGTTCCACTCTAGACTTTGCTTCTAGAGGTCGTGGGCTTCCAGCTTGTTGAAGGGATATTAAAATTCCCTTTTATAGCAGGTGGCAACCAGCTCGACTCCCCCAAAAGTTGGGGATGTCCACTTATTCTCGTATTCCTTAAGGCTGGTGATGTGTTCCCTGCAGCTTGTGGATACTCAGGAGGGGCCTCGCAGTGCTCTCCGCGCCTTGAGAAGACGCTGCAGAGGGGCAGGCACAGGCTCAGCGAAGGCGGCGGCCAGTCCCTCCCCAGCAGAGCCGAGGCGTCTGCTGGCTCCCGCTCACGACCTTGGTTCCCTCTACCCTGTCACGTAGCTCACTGCTCACCACTGTGGGCAGGCGCTTTTCTGTTCCCCAGGGGACCAGGAGCACAGGCGTGCAAGGGTGGGCGTGGAGCTACACAGCAGGTGGGCAAGGGCCCAGGACCAACCTCAGTACCCTGGGAGCCACATGCCCTGGCCCTTACCTTAGGACGAGGGCAAGGTGTTAGAAATCCCTACTGGCTGTGACACTTCTTTCAGGTTATGGGCCAGAAGCAATGCCCAGGCCTCTTGGTGGTTTTGCGTAGCTGGCTATCTTCAGGGGGAGCTGTCTCCTCACTCAAACCAGTAGGTACTGAGTGAAAAAAAACCTCTAATGTTCCAAAGTCTTAAAAAACTAAGATTATCACTTTACAATCAAGGGGAAAATGGCATCAACCAGGTATGAAGGCAGCCTCGGGCCCCACCAAGAAGTCAGATATTTGGGGGGTAAACCAAGTCACTGAGGCTCGTGAGCTGTGGTGCCTGCAACAGAAGGCTTCTCCCCAAGGCAGGTGAAGTCTGGGTGACTCTTTCATGTGGCCCTGTGGATTGTGACCCCAAGCCACCAGGTGCCAGGAACACTAGCGGCACTGTTGCCTCCCAGCCATCCCTGCCCTCCTACCCTGAGGTCTGGGTGTGAGGTGTTCCAGGCTTCCTAGCTCACCCAGAGCCTGGAAAAGGGCTGATTCAGCCCAGGGGGTCCAAACAAGAACACTCCTCAGACTGGTTTGTGCAAATGTTTTTTTTATTTCCACATTTATATCACAAGGTGTCCACTTACTGGACCAAATAGCAAAGTTGCTCCCTTCTGCGTCCTGAGAACACAGAAGTCTAGGTACTGTACATTCACTAAGGCTCCTTGTTTTTGCAAATCGCGTTTATGACAAATAACCATAAGGCAAACGAATCTAAAGGAATGGTTATGAGTGTCCCAGCGCAGACCGGTCTCTGCCTTGCCCCTCTGTGCAGCTCAGCGCCAGGAGCACTGCACTTTCTCTGTTGTTTGGTTGGTGGCTGGGGAGGCTTAGGTGAGGTTTTCTAGGCGTGTGCAGGAAGGGAAAAGGAAGGGGAGAGAGGAAAAAGGTATTTGGCTGGAGGCCAGGTGGAAGGGGATGAAAATAAACTTGAGAAAACTGAAATTTCTGCAGCATTTCTTTAAGAATGGGGGTTCAACCGAAACCAGACAAGAATGGGCGGGTGTCCGTGGAGTATGGGGTATGCCGGCCGGCCGGCCTACCCACCCGATGCCAGCGGCTCACAGACAGGGCTGGGTAGGGAGCAGAGGCCGAGGCCAGCCCGCCGTCTCACAGACACTGGGCCGAGCTCAGGAACAGAAAAGGCAGAAAGACATGAGATGTGTGTCTGTCACTGTTAAAGGTAACCTCCCCACAGCTGTCCTGTGCCCACGTGCGCAGAGGCCCCGGCACAGGGCTGCAGGACGGCTGCATCTGTGCCACCTCCTCCCGCTCCTCGAGGCGGGACTGACGCCTGTACAGCTGGTTGCTATAGAGTTCTGAACTCCCTTGGCCGTCCTTCCTTCTGCGCGGTCCTTCCTTTGCAATCGTGTTAGTAAACCGGTAGCAGCATTTCACAAAAGAAGGAGAGTGTGGAGGGAAGGGCTCGGAGACCCGCGCTCCCCGCTCCCGCCCACCCACCAGGCTCTGCAAGGTGGGAATGCACTTTGGGGCGCGGGCCTCAGTCCAAGCAGACATAAGGCAGAACGTTCAAACGCCCGTCGTCACCGTGCGGGTCGAGCGATATGCACTGTGTCCAGTCATACCAGTTACCCTGTGTGTCCTGACACCCGTTCACCCCTGGCCACTGGCCGGCCTCCAGTCGGTCCAGATCACCCCGCGTCACCTCTCGGCTCAGCCCCGGGAGGTCAGCTGGCGGCGCGTGGGGCACCAGCACGTGTGGCTGCCGTGCCCCATGCCGCGTGCTCTCCTCCTGCCGCAGGTACTCGGCCATGAAGTGGTGCGCCCCCGGGGTCTGTGCCCCCGAGGACGACAGCAGGCTGCTCTGGCGGCTCAGGTAGGACTGGATGATCTCATTGCGTGACAGCTCCTTCCAGTTCGTCTGCTCGAAGGGGCTCTGGAGGCTTGCCTTGGCCTCCTGCTTGTCCAGCTCTGTCCTGGGCGGCTGCTCCGTGTGCACGGGGCTGTCGGCCCGCACTGGCTCTTTCTGGGTCAGAGGTTTGATCTGTCTCGTCATGGGGTCAAAGGTGAGCTTGCGCTCTTTTAACCGGACAGGCTTGACGCCTGCCTCGGCCACCTGCCCGTCCAAGTTCACCATGTAGTCACGAGGCCGGTACCTCTTTTTCTTTCTACTGTCCGAGCCACCTGAGGAGGCTGCATCGCTGTCCGCCTTGGAGGAGTCCGGGGAGAAGCCCGCCCAGGGCAGGTGTGGCTCAGCAGGGGGCAGCCCAGCCTTGCAGCCTGCACCTGCCAGCCGCTGGTGGCCCTCAGGCTGCTCCAGCCAGCGCACTGGGCTCTCTGCACTGGGCAGCAGCTCCAGCCGCCGCACAGGGGGCGTGGACGGCTGGGCCAGTGGCAGCGGGGACGGCACCTGCGTGGCCTCAAGCACCGGGGGCCTTGGTGAGGGGCTGGGCACAGAGCCCTTGGGTGTGTAGGGGCTCCGTTGGCGGGCAAAGGAGCCCTCCTGCCGTGAGTTCCGGGGGCTGAAGGAGCAGCGGGATGGAGCCCTGGGGTGGGGAGGGCCGGGGGTCTCATCTACCTTGGCCTGCAGGCAGGGCCCAGAGGGCCGGCCCAGGCCTGGGGAGCTGGGGTGTGGCCTCACAGCGTTCACAGGGACCTTGCCGCTGTGCTGGTCATTCTCATCGGCCTCCAGGCGGCCGCCCTCAGGGCCCATGAGCCCACTGCCATCCACAGGGCTGGGGAAGCTCTCCGGACTCCCACTGATCCCGTTAGTAGGAAGTGGAGAGTTGGGACCCAGTAGGTCATGGCCAGCCTTGGAGACCTTGGGAGGTGGGCCAGGGTGGCCGAGGTCACGCTGGTCCCCTCGGCGTTTGCGGCTTCCCAGCCTGTCCAGCCGTGGCCCCGGCAGCCTCTGGAGGTCGTTGCGGTGCTTGAGGTCAGGGACGCCTTTGGGCACACTGGCCCCAGCCTCGGGCCGGCAGTTATGAGCGCCCCCATTGGCCCCCCGCAGGGCCGCCTCGTTCTGCTGCACGGGCTCGATGAGTTTCTGCCAGCTTCTGAGCAGCTTCTTGGCCCGCTTGGCGAGCTCCTCGTTCTTGGTTTTCTTGCGGACATCGTTAACGAGCTTCCCAAGACGCGTCTCCTAGGAGCATACACACGTTTAGTGTGGAGCTTTCCGCCCTGGGCTGCCCCACCACCAGCTGCCTAGACTCAGGCCCCACACAGACTTCCCATCCCCTCTGCTGATGCACAGCCTTGAAGCCCACTCTGGGCCACGGTCTCTGGGCCTCCGGTGCCTGGAAGCGCTGGGCCATCAGGCCACTTCAAGGACACTGCGAGGGCCAGCAAACAAGGCCCACGTGGTGCCCGTGTGGTGCAGACAGAGCTGGCCTGGGCTTCCTCCCATGATGCATGGGGCTGGGCCGGGCCACAGTACTCACCTCCAGTGCCTCTTTGGTAATGGGGTATCTCTCCAGGCTGGAGATGACTTCCAACACGGCCACCATGTTCCGGATCTACGGGACAAAAGCCACGCGTCAGGTTCCACCTGCCCCAGGCTGGCAGCCTGGGGGTGGCCTGCTCAGCCCTCCCCGCTCCTGAGTCTGCACAGCACCCTGTGCACACATCCCCGCACCCACACTTATACAAGGGGACCCACTCCTGAAAGGGGCAACAGGTCAGCTCTGCCTCAGCTCCCAGGGAATGGGGACTAAAGACGTAGCAGAAGAAAACACGTCACTTCAGAGAAAAGATCAGTACAGAGTAAGCTGGTCCCCTGAGTCACATGAGAATATAGGAGCTGCAGAGTTCCTTTGGACATGCCACACAATAAATGTCACTAAGTGAGAGGAGACACATGCCAGGGCCCAGGTGGTGCACCAGGGCTCTCGCAGAGACCAGGCAGAGTCTGTGGTGCAGCCTGGCTGCAGCAGGCATCAACACAAGGTGAGCTGAATGCACAGACAGATGCCCCCACGGCAGAGCAGGGGTAAAGTGCACCACCATGCTGGGCCAGCCCTGTCCCAAGTACTCTGTATACCACACCTTGTTTCACTGTCACAGCAAGCCCATGGGGCAGTGCTTCTGCTATCACATTGCATAGATACAGACACGCACAGAAAGCCTCATCTCCGATGTCCCTGCTGTGACCTCACACCCTAGAAAACCCTGCTTGTCTGACACCATAATGATCCAAAGCAGCACAAGTCACGATGGCCAAACGCTGCAACACAGGTGATCACAGAGTGGAACAAGCCCAGGCTCGGGGACACACAGAGTCACAGAAGGCAGATGCATGTGAGCCCAAGTATGCCAAGTACCACCCCCACTCAAAACCAGTCCCAGGCCCCCTGGGCAAGCCAGCTGCCAGCTTCTCTAGGAGGACAACACAGCGTCTCTGTAAACTGGCAACAGACAGATTGCTGTGTAAGAAAAGACACTAAAAGCGGGCTTCATCGGGATGCAGCACTGCCTTCCAGACACTCCTGACAGCTACCTGGTGAAGGTCTGAGTGCACAGTACACGACCGCAGGTTCTGGCAGGCTGACCAGCCACAGCCTGGGAAAGCCTCTGCTGTGTCGACAGGCATGCAGAGTGGGCACTTACACACGCCCAGTACATGCTGACACCACGCTGTGTGCAGGCACACATGGCACCAGCCTAAGCAGCCATGGCAGCATCTCCCTGGGTGCGTGCCTCACATGCTTGGAGCCCAAAGCAAGCCACAGCTGTGCACCTCACTGCTGCTCGCTCACGCGTTCGCCAGCGGCCCAGGCCCGGCTCCGGCTCAGCTGAGCTCTCCAGGGGCAGGGCCCTACCTCAATACGAGGGGACACCCAGGTCTTCCCACTGATATTACAAATACGTCTGGCAGGCAAGACTATCACGGCTAAAGCACGAGCAGGCGCAGAGCTCAGGCTCCAGGATGCAGACTTCGGAGAGTGGAGGGGACTGGGGCACAGTTGAGCCGCGTCTGTCCGACCACACCCCTGCAGAACTGCTCTGAACCTCCATGGGGCTCTGGGCCGGGACCAGAAGCCAGCAGCCTGTGCTCCTTCTTCGGACCCTCTGGTGCTGGCAGAAGTCGGTATTCCTGGCTGTGGGACTCGGGTCCCTGTGGCTCGCTGGCTGTCACCCACAAGCCTTTGCCAGCTTCTTGAGGATGCTGCATCCCTCAGCCCAAGGCCTGCCTTCCTGCCCTCCGCAAAGCAGCTCTCTGACCATGCCTGGATGAGGGAACATCTCCCCACCTCCTGGCTGTCCCTCTGGCACCCTTGGCCACACCGTCACCACACCCCTAGGTTCCAGGCTCCTGCTGGCCATGCAGTCCTAGCTTTTCTGACCTTCTGCCACACTCCAGCCAAAGGTGGGACTGATGCCTCTCTTCCCCCAGGCTGTGGTTGAAAGGTGCAGAGGGGCCATCCCCCTGCACTGCACAGCCCCTTGCTGTGAGCTGATTCACTCTGCACACAAAGCCATGCCCCGAAGTGCTGCTGGGTGGAGCCAGGTCCATGGACACAGCTGAGAGGCCCTGGAACCCCTGCTCCACACTTTGTGGCAGGAGATGAGGCCACTCCATAGTCACTGCTCACAGGACCAGGCTCAGAAGCAGCCCCAGTGGTGCGGGGGTCAGGTCCAAAGCGGGGACAAGGCCGATGTCTCCTGGGCCCTGATTCCGGCCCCAGTGGAGCTCTGGGCTTGCCACGTGGCCTTGTCTCCACCCCGTGACCTCCCTGATATGATCTATTTAGAGCCCCGGGTCCCCACACACTCCTGAACCAGGAGTCCTTGCATAGCAGAATGCTGCCTGGCCTGGCTGGCCTGGCAGCACAGAGTGTCCTTGTCCTTGGGCAGACACCATCCTGCTCCCAAACGGGAGGGAGGAGGCAGAACACCTGGGTAGCCCACTGAGAGGAAGAGCCTGGCGCACAGCAGCCCCTGTCCCTCTGGGACTCATTCCCCAGGCAAACAGCTCTGCCACTAGAAGCAGAATCCCCCACCCATGCACCATCAGCTCTTTCCAAAGACACGTGCTTTCCTTAGGGTTAGTGCAGCCCAGTATGGCCTTCCATGTCACCCACAGTGATTGTCCCTGACCACTCATTTGAGCCCATTCGCCCTCTCCAATGGAGGTAAATATTTGCCTGGCCCTGGAGCACTTCATGTGGTATGGCATCTGCCCTGTGCAGACATCTGCAGGGAAGGCACGCAGGCTGAGGGTCAGCAGTACAGGTGTGCATGGTGAGTGCAGGCAGACTCTGAGGGGCTACTCAGGGAAGCAGGTGGGAACTGCACAATGCCCACCACAAGGAGGGCAGGAAGCTACCAGATGTGGCCAGGTGTGCATACAAAGTGATGGAAAGGATCCTGCAACTTCACATGAGCACTTTCACATCCCAGGCGCCACAACCAGGTACACATGGCACAGCAGGAAGGGATGCCACTGTCAGCTTCCTGGACTCTCACAGACAGACCACGTGAGGAGACTGGAGCTTTGGCCAGGGGCATCTCAGCCAGCAGAGGTGTCAAGGAAGGGTGCTTGTGTTAGTTACTTTTCTGCTGCTGAGACTCGCCTGACACGAACAAGTTAAAGAAGCAGAAATTAGCTCAGGCTCACTGTTTCAGAGGTTTTAGTTCATGGTAGGCTGGCTCTACGAGGAGGACAGCATGGTGCAAGGGCTGTTCATTTTATGGCTGACAGGAAGCAGAGAACAGGAAGAGCCAGGAAAGAGAGACACCCTTTCAGGTCATGCCTCGGTGACCACCTCCCTCCTCCAACCAGGCTTCACCTCCTAACAGCACATTCAGCTATGGTCTCATCTGTGGATGCATCCACCAAAGAGGTCAGTGCCCAAGATCAGTCACTGCCCTGGCCCCACCTCTGAACCCTGGGGCACTGAGGACCAAGCCCCCAATCTATCAGTCTTTGGGAGACACTTCACATTTACACCAGAGCATCCACATGGCAGGCCCCCCAGCCACGTGCTGAAGGTGTGATGGGCCTGGTGGGAAGTCAGGTCCCTAGGAGTGTGACCTTCCTGAAGTGGGTACTGGGACCTTGATCCCTCCCTCCCCCTTCCCTCCATCTCCTTCTCTGCCACCATGTACTGTCTCTCAACTTACTACAAAAACAAGTCCAATGGGCCCAGACCTCCAAACCATACACCAGAATATACCTCTCCAGCTCTGCAGTGGGCTCTCTGGGGACTTTACTATGGTACAGACAGGCTCGATAAGGGAACACCTAAGGGATACCTGGGGACACACACCGGGCAAGCAAGGGCAATGCCTCACACAGGACAGCTCTTGGGTGGCACATGGAGCCACCTCCTCCGTCCCTGGTATGGCCAGGCCTGCACTTGAACACAGCTCAGCTCACAGAGGACAAGAAGGGGAGGAAAGTGGCCAGACTGCACAGGAGAGAGGGGGAGGGGATGTACCCTCACAGCAGCCTGGCAAGAGTCTGGACCTGTGTGTGTGGGCACCCACCCTGCTCAGGTGAGCCCCCAAGCGCAGGGATGAGTGCGCACAGCTGAGTGGTGAGCAAAGGCTCACCATACATCTTCGCCTTCCATGACAGGTTAGACTACTTCCCGAAGCGATGGTGCAGTGTGGACGTTACCACGGCATAATTCAGGAGAGCGTGGCAGCAAAAAGGGGCAGGGGCCAAGATCGACTGTAAGCTGCTCCTACTGAAAAGAGAGTTACCATATCCTCCCTACTTTTATATGTGAAATTCACCACCAGTTAAAACAGGTAGAAAACACTCCTACTCCTAACAGGTAGAGATTTCCTCAGCTCTAGAAGGATCTGGCAAGGGGACTAGAAGTGAGGCTAACAAATACCTGTTTCCAACTCAAGTGAGGGACCCTACTCTCTCCTAGCTGGCATGGGCCTCTTGACCTGGGATTTGAGTTGCATGGCTGGCCCATCTGGTGAGCCACAGGGAGCTGGACAGGCCCCGGGCACAGACAACACACGCTGCCTACCAGGGGTCCACTCAGCGGGAGCCCCTCGGGGGCCCACAGGTACCTGGCCCATGGCTGGGCGCACTGTGCAGTCTTCCCCTGTGGGACAGGCCTACCTGGCTCTGAGTAAGGTGCTCAAGACCAGGAGGGAGCAACGGCAGGCAGGGGAGGGGTGCCCCAGACTTCTGGCTAAGCACAGAGCCCTTGGCTCTTCTGGGAGGGCCTTCAGGGGCTGAGGACATGGGGTATTTCGCAGAGGTCACACGTCATGCCCCCTACCCAGGAGGGCAGAAACATGCAAGAGGGCTGACATAAGTCCCAGAGAAGGGACAGCATGGTGTCCAGCCTATGGTGAGGCCTCTCAAGCCCAGGAGAGGTGCAGTCATGCTGGCCGGCCCCTGGGCCGCCTCCACTGGCCCTGCTTGGGGGCTGCTGGGCAAAAGCCCTGGCCTAAGTAATTCCTGCCTAGCTGGGGATTTCCAGTCACAATCTGAAAGGAGGAACCGTGACACCAAATACAGCGTCCTGAAGCCCTCTCGGGCTCTGCT